CCCCCCCCCCCCCGCACCACAACCACCAGCTCAACGGCGTCATCAGCCCCGAGCTGCGGCACCTGCGGGCCTCCCTCAAGAGCAAGATCCTCAGCTCGGAGGCCGGGGCAGCTTCCGAGGGGCAGGAGAACAAGCGAGCCAGCAAAACAATGGGCTCTGGACAGCAGCAGCAGCAACAGCAGCCGTCGCCCCCGGCCGCAGCACCGTGCTCGACCCCCCTTACTAACCACCTTGCTCCCCAGGGAAGGACTGCACCCTCTCCTCCTCCTCCTCCTTCTCCCCCAGCAGCAGCAACAGGGGACAGGAGCCAGCCTGCTGCCACAACTATGACTGCTGCTAAGAGTGCAGCCCGCAATGGACTCGCAGGAGGGACTGGCTTGGAGGAGGAAGAGCAGGAGGAGGGGGATGAAGGAGGGGAGGAGGAGGAGGAGGAGTCCCTGCTGCTACTCTCCAGGTCCTTAGCAGCAGCCTGCAGTTTGAAAGGCTCGGGAACGGACTCTCAGCCCGAGGAGGACCTAACGATACGATACGTCCGATATGAGTCAGAGTTGCAGATGCCCGATATCATGAGACTGATCACCAAAGATCTGTCTGAACCCTACTCCATTTATACATATAGGTATTTTATCCACAACTGGCCACAACTTTGCTTTTTGGTAAGTGCCCGGGGGTGGCAGGAATTGGGAGTGGTTTGGGGCTGGGGAGGAGAGGATTTAAAGGGTGACATTTGTGGAAATACTTAGGCTATTCCTTTCATGGATAAGGGGGAAGGCCAAGGTTTTCTGGAAGTACCTTTCACTAATGAATTGCTCTCACCACCTGTGCCTGTATAAATAAAGCATGTGCCTAAAGATCCTACATTTATGAATAGATGTTTTGAGTGGTGGTGAAAGAGTTTGAACACAGGGCCAGTGTCCAGGAACTCAAGGGTTCTAATCTTGGTTTTGACATTGACTTTTGTGACCTTTGTCAGCTTATTTTTATTGTTCTGTCTCAGTTCCTAGGTTTATATATTTTTTTAAAAAGTATTTAGCCCATTAGTGTCTTATGAGTGCTTAGTAATTCTTGCACAATGGTTTTGAAACAGACTTCAACATGGCTAGTATATAAGTGTTAAGTGATACGTGGAGAAACAGTGTTAAATGTTTTGTAGATTCTTTTGATTTGCTAGCCTACTTAAAAAAGACAATTGCAACTGTATTGCTTCATACAGTTGTGAGAGTGTATGTAGCATACAGAAATTTTCATGCTGCCTCAACTATCTCGCAGTGCTAATGGCATGTTTAGTTTCATATTCTTCACACTGAGCTATTGAAAAGGATGATATAGCTTTTATGCTGTCTTTCTAAATATTTAGCAGCTCTTATGGAAGAGCGACTCCTGGGCAGTTTTAGAACTTGCACAGTTGAAAAGCATGCTGTTAAGATGCTAATCCATCCACAGGTATATGAAACTGAGTATAAGTTAGCCTGAGGGGGGTGTGTGCATAGGGGGACCTTAGTTGTGTTTGCTCTTTCTCGTATGAAAATTTCAGTCTCTAAAATGGAACATTTGTGAGAGTGTATGGCACGACGTTGCTAAGATGAATGATACGTTTTTCTCCCTCGATGTTTTAATCGAGGCTGGACACCTTTCTGAAAGATATGATTTAGCCAGAGCCAAGATACCCTTCAATTCAGGAGTATCTCTGTAAAATTGTAGTAGGATATGAGTACAGGAGGTCAGGCTAATGGAATCCATCTGGCCTTAAGCTTCCCGACTGTTCTTGTTTTAGGGTCTGGTATAATTTATAGCAGGATTTATATGATTTATAGGAGGATTTTCAGAACTATGCCTCTTAAAGCCCTAAAGAGGGAATACAGTAGGATTGTAGGAAGTTGAGCAAAACATTACCTTCGGAAACAAAACAAAATTATAAAATTATTTGAAAACACTGTCCAATGTAAATTCATGATTGCCATTATATTATTAATTATAAGCATGGTGATCGGAGCAGAATGGTATTTTTCAAGCACTGAGCCTATCCTAGCTATGTGTGCAGCTGATTAATCTCATACTGAAAAGAAGTGCTTGTGAGCTACAAATGTCCCTAGTTTCAGCATCAAGTGCATTGTTGGTAATGCCAAGGAAATGCTGGCTGCTACAAGATCACAGTGCATCTTTTTAGTCTTTAGATCTTGGGATTTTTTTGTTTTGTTTCCTTTTTTTGGTCAGAGAGTAACTTGAGAATTTTGTTGTTACGAAAAGGGCGATGACACATTGTTTGACAGAGCTCTAAAATATTTGATTTCTAATATTTATTTTTAAAACAAGTGCTTTCAAAGAGCATGTTTTCACTCAAGGAAAAGATCTCTTAAGCTTATTTTCTAGTGACGGATTCATTTTTTTAATAGCCTTGAATCAACAAAACTTAGCTTGAACTTTGCGAGTCTACTCAGATTTGCCATTTTTATGAAGTGCAGAACAATATGAAGCGCATAAAACTAGAGAAGGATATGTGGCTACAAATGTCTAAAGGAATTATCAAATTGTTTTATAAATGTAATAATCTGAGGCTCTTGCAATATGTTATTTTTTTGTGCCTGGTTTTAGCATTTTGAGGTTTGTTTTTAGAGGTTTTATTGAAGACTTTCTCTTCTGTGAAAATTAGTCTGTTCCTGCAGTTAATGGATTCCTGGACTACCTCTCTCTAATAAGTATCTTTAAAATATTTACCTTCAGTGAGGGACTGTGTGTTCCAATTAGCAGGAACAGTGTCAGGACAGTGAGAAGAAATACCGTAATTTTCCTCTCTAGCATCTTGGATATCTGACAATGCAGAACTCTTTCTTGGGGGCATTATTAACACTATTCCTGTGGGTGATGATCTAGGAGGTTTGAAACTTAAGGAGTTGTGGCTTGGCCTTCCCAAATTGTAGGGACACTCTAATGGCTAGTGCAACCAAAAAGGGCTACTTGCTCTTCCTTTTCTATCGCCTGTCTCTTCTTCCTTTGTGCCAACGTTTATATTTATCTGATTTGGGAAGCTAGGCTAGCTGCACCCTCCACCCCCAAAAAAGTAAAGTAATGGCCATGGACACACATGCATGCACATGTTTTTGTATGTGTGTTTGTCTGTGTATGTATACATATATATATACATATATACATATATATATATATATATATATATGCGCATGTGTGTGTGTTCTATGGTCAGCTTTCTCTTGATTTAGCTCTCCAAGCATATTCATAGTGGGATCACACAAGTGCCAGTGTTGGTGCAAAAGAAGAGGTGAGATCCTCCAGCACAGCTGGAGAGAAGGCACAGGACCAACCCTGCCTAGTCACTAGCTTGGTTTTGCTCTATCAAACTACTTCCTAACTTGGTGCTTGAAAAATAAATTCATTTTCCGCTTTAAAAGGAACTGCCGATATTGAGAATCTTCAAAACCATTCATTCTAACATCAAATTCATCTGTAAAACTGTCTTTCTGACTTTTGAGGTAACAAGTTGATTATATGTGATGATCAATTCTGATATATTATATTGCAGAATTTTCTGACTGTGCTGCAGCAAGGTAATAAGCTACTTCATAAACTCTAGCTGTCTGCTTAAACTTGGATTTCACCTGTCTTTGGAACAGCAGGTTCGCACGTTGTGCTAGGTGTAGATGCTCTGGAAACTCTTCCTTTTTGTTTGTTCTCAGGAACTTTGACAGTCCAATTTCTCTTCAAATGAAGTATTATGACCACTTGTCACTCAAAAAATGACAGAGCAAAGCAATGTCTTTCTGTTTCCTGTGAAGCATTTTTGAACAGCACAACAGCTTTGTCTGCATATTGATTGTAAACACATATTCAAAGTTGTAGATTCTTTTCAAAGTGTTTTTGCAGCTTCTAGTCTTAGCGCTGTTAAAGTTATAAAACTTCTTCCATTTGTAACTAGTATATTAAATATGTGGAAAATTGTTTTCAGAATACGTTACTCTGGAAGAGGTGAGCTTGGGAAACCTTGCTCTGTTCTCAAGTTTGGGTAGGACAGGATGTAATAAAACCGGAGTTCTGGCTGAGTGTTGTAGCCTCTCTTGTAACTCACCAAACTGCACTGCTCAGCTCCCTTTTAAGAAAAATCTGGAAAATCTGTGCTTTTATTGGGTTCTTAACTTTGCCATTAGCAATAGCAGTGATTATAATTTAAACTTTGACAAGTTTAAAAATAACCTATTAATTCCATGTAAGTGGTTTTAGATGTGTTGTAAATCCTAAATGACTGCAGTTAAGATCTTGTTTTCTACTAATACTTTACTTTTTTTTTTTTTAATTGGATTTTATTCAAGACTCTCGGCATCCTTTATGTAGAAATTAAGCCTCGTAAGACGTCTCTGTTTTTCAGTTGTGAAGAACTTGATGCGTAAAAGAAGAACCGGAGAAGTCAGGAAACTGCCAGAATGTTATAGCAGCCTCATGGCAGGAATAGGCAGAGCTAGGAATAAATTCTGTAACATCTATTCCCAGTTTGCAAACTGCTGCAACTCCTCTGTGTATTCCAGTTTCCTCTTGAGGATGGTCACAGTTTCAGATAGAGGCTTGCTGTGCTGCTTTGCACTGTCAGAGGCTTTGTGAAAACTACTCATTCTAGCATCTGAGTATTTAGCAACTACTACTGTAGTTATTCTGACAGTGAGTGCCCTGGCACAGGAAGGAATTACTGGTGTCCAGTTTCGTGGACTGGAAGCAGAGGCAGTGACTTAGTGATTTGCCCACTGTTGTACAGATCTCTGGCCTAACTGTCAGACTTTAGGCCAATGGTTGTAGCCTAAATGTATCCTCTAACAGCGTTCAGTAACATGATCGCTCAACGTAAACCAAAGGATTCACAGAGGTCTGTTCCTGTGATACTTTAGAAAGCATTTTGATGCATGTGGGAGTGGAGCTGTATTGTAGGAGTACAGATACTACTGCATTTGATTCGCAAAATATTTCTCTTTTAGGGGCTAGTTGGTTGTTTTAATCTTCTTTTAATGAGAACAAATACCACAGGAGTGTGAAATGCATAACTAGCCTGTGACCGCCATCTTTTAGTGCCATCTTTGCTAGTGAAATGAATGCCAATTGTTTTATTTTTTGAAAGGTAATGTTCTCGCTGATGTGTGGAAGTTTTTGTGCTGACTCTTTAGTAAGACGTGGTTGCAAGATGAAGTTACTATAATCTAATCTGTTTTAAACATTTAAACTTATGTATAAGAACCAAGTAATGCAAATACTGAATTTGAATTCACATATGTTAGCTCTACTAAAGACTTAGACTTGAAGTAAATCTTGCAATACTCCGTAGTGCTTATAATATATAATACTCAGTAACTTGGGCCAAATTCTGTCTGTAGAAACTCAAGTTTAGAAGTACTCTCATGTACTTGAAAAAAGAATTTGGCCTATAATCATCTCTTCATAAATGATGTTATATGGGAACTACTTTTTCTCTCCCCCCCCCCCCCCCCCCTTCGGTGTCTTTTTTAGGCTGTTTAACCCTCCCCTAAGAATTAAATTATCCAGTTTTACATTACATTTTAGGTTCATTTTCAGAGAGAAAGGGAAAGGAAAAGAAGAACTCAAATTAAGGGACAGATGCTGCACTCACTATGCAAGTGTAACATCCGTAGATTAACAGGCAGACCTACCTGCCGAAAGGCAGAGAAACAGATTCCTAAGTGTTCAGGGAACTGGTAACAAAGTGATACTTTATGCAACTATCTGGCAACAGGCACAAAATCATCGAGTGTTTACTGCTTTGATCACTGAAACAAAAATTCTTTACTGCTCATTTAGTGTTTTAAACACATGATTCATGGAAATAGCTCTTTAAAAACTGTGTTAACCAAGAAAAAACACAAATACATGATGACTTGAATGTCCCTGCTCTCGGAGTGTGTAAAAAAATATATCTAAGACTCCTCCACATGACTGTTACGATCAACAATTTGCACGTGTTCACTTCAGGGCAAAGCATAACTATAACATGTTAGTTTGTGGTGCGCTCCTTTTTTAAGCGAGGTGTAAGATTACATCTAGGTACTCTGCATAATTATAGCAGTGTTATGAGCAGTCTGTCTGATGATACTCTTTATTTAACTCCCTGTTTTTCTCTGGTCTGAGCAGAGATACAAAGTTTGCCTTGAGCTGACACCTTTGCATAGCCAGTTTTAGTATAAATACAGCCTTTCTTTTCTTTGAAATAAGCAGTTTTTTGTTTGTCCTAAAACACACAGTTTATAGGCTTTATTTTGTATTTGTATCTTGTATTTCAGTCCACTTACATCATGCTTTGGTTTTTGTTTGTTTTTTTGGGAACCACTTGTTTAGGTTATTTGGAGTTCTTGGATACTGTTAGAAAAGTTTATTTTCCTGACAAATAAAGACTTAGCAATAACTATATTTGCTTGGTGAGCTTAGACGCTATTAGAAAAGGTGTTGGGCTCACACCACATCATAGCGTTTTGAAACTGCAGCCCATTCATTTTGGGCTGCTTTGTTTCGGCTTTGGTGGGGGCTCCTGGTCAATAACTAACTCGACTAACAACCACTGTTCAGAAGGTGGTGCTATTCAATTATTTGTCTTGGGACAAAAAACCTCTGAGTTTGTGCCTGCAACGTAATCTGTATGAATGAATCTTCTGCCCACAGAGTAAGGGTGGACCTTCTCATCCTACAAGCTGCAAACAGAAATCTGCAAACTGTTGGAGGCAATAGAGTATGTACCATAGACTTTGGAGAAGCAAGCACTGGGAATGGTTCACAGATGGGCCTCAGTGAGGCCTGGTAACGTTGGCTTTCGCAAGTCCTTTTTGGTTTGACATATCTTACTGCTGTGAATTTGGATTATCCAGAAGAGCTTGTGCCAGTACATGCTTGTGCCGGTCATGCGCTCTAGTCCCAGTTTAGGAGCTACACGTGAGCTGAAGGCTGATTCCCCCTGCAAATACGGGTCTCATTCAGAGTTCTGTGGATCCGTTAATACTCCCATGCATACAATTGTGAGCTGCTTTTTTATCTCTGTCTTTCCCTGAATTAATAGTAGTTCATACTCCCCTTGGACACTGGCCTCTGTTTGCAGTATTATTCACTTTTGCTGCTGCAGGTTATTATATCATTAATCTCTCTTGCTGCTTAATCTTTCAGTTAACATGGTTTGGTTATTCTTCCACTCTTTCTCCAATGTATTTCATGGTAAAATCTTTGGTGAACACAATTAGCCATTATGCAAGTGGTCTGATAAGAGTTTGGGGAGAGGTATTGTTTTGTTCTATTTTGTTTTAATGTTTCAGAATAACTTGGTCTCCTTGACCGTACTTCTTACGACAATATCTTTGGGATTAACTGTCCGTGCATGGCTCTTAATTGTTCAGAGATTTCATTTGTTAAAATGTGTGAAACCGTATGCTTTTTTGTTTGTGCTTTGGATATCATCTGGCTAAAAGTGACGGCTTCCAAAGACTAAATGTAAAGGCATTTTACTCCAATCCCTTACGGGCTTAACATTAACACCAGGCCAAATTAAGCATGTTATCTACCACAGCCCTTGTACATGAAAATTGAGATCGTTATAAAACAGAAATGGACTCTTTTGTCAGCCCGTGTGAAAGAATATGATTTATGCCCTAGCCTCTTTTTTTGTTTATTTTTGTTTGTTTAGTTTTCCTCCAACCACGTGTTCTTGCCTTTAGACTTCATGGACTAATACTGTGATTCTGTACAGGGCAACTTACTGTTTTTCGGTAGCTTGTAACTTTATTTGAAAATAATGTAAGAATAAGAGCTTTAATCTTAATTGTATTTTGGAGATGCACTGTAAATCAAAAACTGAGAATGCATACATATATGTTTGTCTTTAAGGCCATGGTAGGTGAGGAGTGTGTAGGTGCCATCGTCTGCAAGCTGGATATGCACAAAAAGATGTTCCGCAGAGGTTATATAGCCATGTTAGCAGTGGATTCCAAATACAGAAGAAAAGGAATTGGTAAGAATAGCTTTTTTATATGTATTTATTTACTTAGAAATCCTGTCGTGTGTCAGGATAACTGTAACTGTCATAAAGATTTAAGCAAAAATGGACTGCTAAATATTTGTTATCGCTCCTTGTTATCTTTGCCTTACTCTCCCACACGTGCTCCCCAGCATGGTGGGTTTTTTGTTTTGGTTTGTTTTTTAATTAAAATAACCTGAAATGTCAATGCCCTATCAGCTTGTCATCCTTATCGTATCCCAGATGTAAAGAAAGGCAATCGGCAGCCCCTTACCTCTGGAAATTATCGGTTCCAAATAATTATAGGAATTATTTTTCACCTTCATATGTGCCCTCACCGTTTTATTTCCATGAGGTGTTCAGGCCATTTATTTTCAGTGAATTTATCCTCTGGCTTCTCCTTATCAGTTATGGGCCTATTGCCCATCAGAAAGATATACGTAGCTCATTGCTGTATTAAAAATTCCAAGAAATAGTTGTGTATTAATTCTAGAATGACCAAGACTGAGATCTGTTTTACTTAGAAGTTACATGATAAAGGAATCCATTCTTGACAGGTACCTTGCTCTCCCTTGTCAATCAGTTTTACCTGAGGAAGAGTTTTTTTCCTTCAACCTCAGTTATCTTTATTGGCTTGATTAGAGAACTGTTCTTACAGAACTTTATTCCTTTGAGTTGGTTATAGTGAAATTTCCTTCATTTTCTAGTGTGTGTGTGTGTGTATGTATGTATGTATATATATGTGTGTATATATATATATATATACACATCTTTTTTTAACTTAAAATGTAAATGTCAGCTCTAAAGGCCGGAAATGTGCTTCACTGCTTGTTCACGCTGAAGAGCTCATACTCTGTGATTAAAGACAGAAAATGACTTTCAATGGAAAAATAAGGGGATACGTTACAGAACACTACCACTGAGGTGGTTCTCCTGGGGTTTTTTTTTTTTGTCGTTGTGTGTTTTTTTTTTTTTTTTTTTTTAACCCCTGGGAGCAACAATAATGACTAGTCAAGCATGTGAGGAAATTTTTTCAGCAATGCAATTCTGAAGCCATTTTTGATTTGGCGAGTGGAGCAGAGGGAGGAGGATAGAGAAATAGCGCGCTCTGTTCCTTTTAGCTGAGTCATGAAGGAGCCTGCCATAATTTAGTTGCAGGTGCTTAGATTCATAAGTAAATAAGAACAAATGCTGTTCTTGTGAAGAGCTCTGCAAGTTTTTTCCCTCTCTTTAGTCAATTCATCATTTTAGAATTATATAAATAGTATTTATATTTAAAGTTTTGCTTACTTTAACGTTATATAAATGTTGACTTTTTCCCCTGCTTTCACTACCTTGCTGTTTAAAGTATGGTGTTAATCTGAAGATTTGTTTTATATACAGTATGGTTTTGTCGTAAGTTCAAATAAAATCTTAATTGATTAAAATTTTGAGAATTCTTTAAAACAATCTCTAGATTCCTTGGGGTTTTTTTTCCTTTTCCTTAGCCTTCTTATGGAAGTGAGATTTATGCAATTTCACTGAACAGCAGTTTTTTCCACTAATAACTTTGAAATCAACTTTCAATTTCACCCCAATTCTACAGACAGGTAGGGATATTACGTTTGTAGATCTGTTGTGAAATGGATGAAAAATAATGATAAAGAATTACATTAATGCTCGACTGAGGGGAAGGGATGGGCTTCAACCATGCTATTAGATACCAGCAAATCCAAATGGGAGGGAGCCACAAGAAGAGTGATTTCATAAGCTCTGTTACTAATAGAAGTATTTGTTTTAGTAAGAGGAAATTCCCTTGGAAGATGAATGTCCTTCAAGTACAGGCCAACAGATTTTGACTTTAAATGCAACAAAAGGGAATGAATCACATCTTGGAAGGCTATATATAACACTATGTTAAACATAGAAGCCTGTTTTTAATATCCTTACGTTAGAAGAATCTTGCATTCAGGCTTGAGTCTCTGGTGATTGCTGGTGATTTGAATGCTCAAACTTGAGGCTGCAACTTGACTGCAAATTCTTTTTTTCTTTCTCTCCTCCCCTAGGTGTTGTCGTATAGGTAGCCCATATATTAGTTGTGTATAATTGAGCATCTTTTGCATTGCAACTGTGTTGACACATATTCAAATCTAAATTTCAGGTACAAACTTGGTTAAGAAAGCTATTTATGCTATGGTTGAAGGAGATTGTGATGAGGTAAGATTTTATAATCAAAAACTTCTTTGGGATATAATGTAAACGGTTTATGTTCTCCTATACGTAGATTTGGTTAACAGGTTTTTCTTTTGAGTCGTACAGGGTTTTTTGGTGGGAATCATGTTGGTAAGTGTCTCTTCCATCTATTATAAAGGAAGCATAACCTCAAAAGAGAAAAAAGCACAAACAGAAGGACTTTCTAAATTTGTCATATAAGTATTCAAATTCAGTGCCTCAGGTTTTGTTTTGCTTTGCAAAGCTGCATCAGCCTTCAGTACAAGGCACACTTTCCTCCAAAAACTCCAACTTAAAGATGCTATTGGACCAATATAACTTGCATGTTGTATGTAATACTTCCAGACTTTCAAAATACAAAGTGATACTTGAACAGTGCTGTAACACTGCAGAATATAGTTTTTTCACAGCAAGTCATCAGATTATTCTGACAGTGCATAAGTATATTAGCACTAACAGAACTGTATAATGACTTAGCATTTCAGTGAAAAATTTTAAGAAAAATGACTGAATCACTGGCAAACTTTCTCTGGTGTGTATGTTATTAGTCTTTCCTTTTACTATGTTACAGTCCCCTCCCCCCCCCCCCCTTTTTTTTTTTTTTTAAATATATGAAGCAACTAACTATCTTAATGTGCCAAGTTTAACTTGTTAGCAACTCTCCCTACATCCACTCTCCCAGATCCAGTTATCTGTTCCGTTAGCTCCTTCATTTGCTTGGTACAATGGAATTGTTGACTTCTTCCTGATAAATGAATAGTGTCATTTCAGCGTGTCATAGTTAGTGATCCTTTGATCTCTTTGTTTTCCTGTTTCAATTGCTCCTTCAATTGTCTTACTGTGGTGTGGTCAAGTATTTTGTGCAAAACTAAGGTTTTTGTCACAAGACCTCCAGCATATACTCTACTTTGTTTATTTTTCCACTAGTTGAGTTATCCCTTTTGCAGAATCAATCCCTGCATACGTTCTGATGTCAGGAAGTAGTTTGAGGTATTCATTCATTCTTCTTCATACCTCCGTTTTACTGATGTCTTTCTTTTCTATAACTTATGTTGTACTCGGGCAGTATAGTGCAATTTGATATTTCTGTACTTGTTCTGCAAGTTCTTTGTTCTGTCTTGTGTTATCTTTATGCTTGTATCATAATAAGTAATACACTTTGTCCTAATCTATTTTACTACTTGCTACCTTGAAGTAATGGAGAAAATGTTTGTTTCCCATCGCTTTCCGTTTTGGTTTTGAATTCATTTGCCATTGCTAAGAATCCAAGATTTAAAAACAAACAAACAAAAAAGGTATCACAGTTGTGATAGTGCAAAATACTGTTATCTTAACATTACGATGAGGGAACTGAGATGCAGACAAGTGAAGTGAATTGCCTGCTGTCATTAGGGATGTCAGTAGTTGAACTGGATTTTTCTACCCCAGCCCCGAGAGTTGTAATACCTCGTTATTATGTATGAGTGTGTGTGTGTACTACTTCTCGTATGAATTCATTTCTAAATTGAACCATGTAACTGGTATACACATAATGATCTCTCCTGTTCTTTTTTTCCCCCCCCCTGCTGCTTTAACATTAGCCCAAGAGGTGGTCTTGATGTTTTAGGTGTTTGTAAAAGTGAAATAAATGCGAGAAGGACTGCAGGCTACTGTTCACTAAGACCTTATTAAGTCTTAGTCACAGGTTTTCCTCTGTGGTGTTGTATATAAATGCTTTACACTGAATTTTGTAGGGCATTTTTCAGTAGTTATCCCCATTTAATCAAATGCGCTACAATCCAAGCTGCTTGAAGTGTGTGCTGGATGGGTGCAGGCATGTTCCACTTCCGCAAGTGCGTAACTGTGTTTGTGGGCTGATGATTGTGAGCTAATTGCACTCTGCTTCTTGGCGGGCTTTTACCCGAGCTTAGTTTGTACTGGCACCGTTAAAATTTTGAAAGGGGAACTCTTATATCCAGGCAGCTTGGAGCACAAGCAGAGCGTATTTCTGACTTTCTACACTGGTCGGCAGAGGCGTTTCCTGTGCATCAAATCAGTATGGAAAGAGAACAACATAAATATAGGCTACCTGCATCCAAACAGCAAATGTCTTCAGGTTTTCTTTTACTCTTTGGCACAAGGTTTTAGGCTTCATCCAGTTGTATGTGGTACAGCAATGGTGGTGGCTACTTGAACCTCCTAGTGGACTACAGAAAAATTTTTGGTTGTGATCAGGCTTTGAAAAATCCACCCAGCCACCCACACCACTGAAGTGACAAACTTCCCCTCACTGGTTTTCACAGCCGCTGTTGGGGGACCGGTTTCTGGTGGTGAGTGATGCCTAGCTGACCAAATACGAAGCAGTGCATTGCCATAACTTGTCTTTGTGAGGTTTGTAGGTAGTTTTATTATCTCTGGTGCTCTTAAGTTCTTTTTTCTACCTCTTCTAATAGAAACAGTAGCAGGATGAAACTAAAAAGATGCTGGTGCTTGAAATAAAACGGACTGCGATTGAAAAATGCTCTGTTTTCTGAAACTTGCTCAGAATATGATTTTAAAAACATGAATAGGGACCTGTGGGTGTAGTTAAAACATTTCTGAAGGCTGCTTGGAAACTTTTTCCTTCAATCTCATCATGGAAAGATGCAATAAATGTATTCAATTCTGAATAATTTGTGGCATATAATCTGAAAAATGTTTATTTCGGTGTAACATTTTTCAAAGTACTGTAGATTAGATTTTTAAGTGAAGGATTTGTACGACACCATACATGAAAATCTTGGAAAAAGAAAAATGGCATTTCAGTTTGATGCAACATTTAGTGGTTAAAGTAGTTCTTGACGGGGTAGGAGGAATGTGGAGGGGTGGTTTTGTTTTGTTTTTTCTTCCCCTAAGCTCCTTTGATGGGAATACACTAAGCCAGGCCTATGGAGCAGTTGGTTTACAGTGTGAATTTCTGCGGTCAGCCAACTGCTTACAGGGTAGCTTATGCTATATGCCATGCTTCAAAGCTGAGAGGCAAAAGCCTGCCAGCCAGGGGTTGCTTCCTAGCTTGAGGAATTGAGGAGGGGGAGAGTAAACAAAGAGGTGAATTAGCGGGATGGAATCAGCATGGAGAGGAGGCGATGGGCCTGGAGGTGATCATGGGCTTTATTGGAACAGAGAGGAGGGGGGCAATCTGATGTTCGGGGTGGGTGATTGAACTAGAAATTACCTTCAAGGCTGAAGAAAGCACTAACAGCATGCTTTAAGCTGGAGTTTCTGGATATGATGTTACAGAACTTGAGGGATCTTTGATTTTGACCTTGGTGAGTTTCCCAGGCATTGGATGGGAATGATTTCTAACATTTGGGATAGTGAACTGACAGTTTTCAGGGCTATAATGGGCTAAGCTTTCATTAGGTCACAGTGATTTTGAACATTTTTCTTGATTGTACAGTACATGTGAACTTCAACTATCTAATGCAGTGTCCTGATTTACTAATTAAACAAACAGGTGAGGGTGAATATTTTTCTTTTCTATTTCTCAAGTTTTGAAGAGATTTATTTTTTTCTAGTGTAGAAAAGAAAGTGCACGCTGACTTCAGTAAGTTGGTTACCTGACTGTCGGTTATGCTTTGGCTTGGTCTTTTTAGAGAAGCAATTCTGAAAAGCTGTACTTGTTAAGACCTTCATGTAGAGTTGTTACATCCCTTAATGAAATTCAGAAAAGAAGAACTGTTTGTGTAGGATCAGTGAAGCCATGTAGGATTGTTCATGTAGGTTTCCCATGACTGTGTAAGTAATCTGCATACAATTCTTCAACACCGCGTATTACATCACTGCCATACCATGTAACTGCTAACTAATCAAAGGAAGACTCCACATATAAATGGCAAGAGATTTTAAAGCAAAATGCAGAGTGTGAAAAGGAATTGCAACTTCTCCTGAGAATTTGTATTGCAACTTTAAAGTGTTCATGATGGATTTTAGCTATGGCATGTTAAAAATTAAGTTGGTCTTTTTTTTTGACAACGCTAGTAGATGTGTTATTTTAATTCGGAACCACGTTTTTTAAATTACGTGCATTAATTATATCAATACTATTCAAAATTCTCAAACAATTGACATCTTAATTTTTTCTTACTCTACAGATCATTTACTATATTAAGCACTGTATTTCAGGTGCTGTCTTTCTTTAAAACTTCAGGCTGTTAAACTGATTAAAGATACTGGACAAGCACCCATTAACTTGATGTTGATCTGCCAAATGTCTTTGTTAGAGTAACAACCTGTTCTGTGAGTGCTGAAAGAATAATATTTTTTTCATTTGTTTATTTAATTTGGCTCTATTCCATGTCTTCATTTCTAAACTTGAGTTCGTTCACAGTTTGAACTGAAGAAGCAAGAAAGTTTATCCTATTTTATTTTGTTTTAAAGACACTCAAGGTAAACGTTAGGCTTACGAAATTTTGGGCGTAAGAGGAAATATGGCTTTCAGAAGGTTACAACTTCTGCAGAAAACACTGTTAAATCCAGTCAGACCTTTGCTGGTCTACAGGGGAGGATGCTGTTGTGTTACTAGAGGATTTAAAAGGCATATTTATACAACAAAATTTACCATAAGATACTGTAGGCCAGAAATGAATGACATGACTGAAGGGTTGGGGCTTGACTGAAAATCTCACACAGGAAGAGGAGAATCCTTCACAGAATCAAGCTAATGAACCGTTAAACTCTAGTTAACTAGCCTATTTTTCAACATTGCAGTTGATTGATAACAGATTATCAAAATTATGACAGACTTTCTCATAGACTGTGTAGTTATTGATGCTCCTGAGGTACCTTGATGTTAGGATCACAGTTTAAGCAGAGTTCTGGCTTTGTATCCACCAGAAGTTGGCCATATCCTAATCACTTAATCTTTTCTTATGTTTTCCATTTTCCTATTCATAAAAAAACACTGGACTGGTAGGATCTGAGGGTTTTTTTTCCTGCTGCTGATGAGTATCATAAAAAGAGCATAGATAAAACTACTTCTGCTTTCTCAGCCACCAAGAGTCATTGTTTAAAGAAACCAGCTTGTGTCATTGCTAAAATTAATTTCTAAAGGATCACTCAGTTCCTTCTAGTATGGGCGCTGTCTTTATTCCTTTGTGAGATGTTTAGCTCAGAGAAGTATTTGTTATTGTACTAAGCTATTCTCTCTAAGAAATACCAGAGCACATCTATTTTATTAGCTTTCAAGATGAGCATTCACTCGAGTGCTGGGATTCCAACAAACCTGAATTTCAACATTTAACCACTCCCTTAAATTCAGTGATCTGCAGTGTCAGACGCCTCTTAGCATTGCAAGGTGTGCTGGCAGTTGGATGCAGACATGTTATATCACTCTGCGAGGTTACTAAGCATTTATGAGAGTGAATGCTGTTTGTTCAAGTAAGTCTCCTGCACTGTGGTTCTTACATGGGTCAGATTACCTGATTGGCATAATGCTTTGTTTTAATTTAAATTTAAAAGTTGTACAGCTTGCATAATTATATAGAAAATAGCAAACAGATTAGGAAAACTGTTGCACTTCCATAATTGGTTATAAATTGATATTTATTCATTTTAATAGATTAAAATTGTTGGGTGTAATTGATCAAGTCGCAGGACCTGATAATAGTATTCCAGGAGGGTGCCAGCATGTGTTTCAGAAGAGAGACATTCAGTCTTTAATTCTTCACTTAAGATGGAGAATTGAATTAGGTTATCTCAAGAATACAGGTACAACAGACTGACCTGCTGTAATTTAAGAACTCTGGCTATAAATATTTCAATGTGTGACTTCTAGTTCCTTTTAGAAAAACAAATTACTTCAAGTTTTATTTTTCCCTAGTGTAGGTTGCCCGTTGGGTGTTAGCCCTGAATTTACTATTCTTTTTACATTTGTGTACTTTGAGAAGCGCAGGTGGAATTCTCCATTGGCATGTGGTCCGAGGGACTTGAAACTTGAGTAATGGTCAAATATATATGTTGAGTAGATAGTTAAATCTTATTGAAGGTAGCCAGTCTAACTGCTGGCTGCTTCCCTCTGTTGTGCTGGTTTAGCCACTCCTCAGATTGCAGAAAATCAATGCGATGGGAAGAAAAATCGGTAGTTTTCTACTCGCGTTGCTTTTTCAACTGGGACAGCAACAAGCCCAGTCAGCTGGCAAAAGAGGTGAGGGGGAATGGAAATACATGCCTGGAGGCTGTGTGGGGCCACAGAAGCCATAACATAAATTGGCTTAAACGGAAGAATCCTTAAATATGAGTTGGAGAACACTAGACAAAACAGTTTCCATCATTTGGAATGGATGGATGGCTCGCCAGGTATGCCAGAGCTCAGTTCAGTGCATTTGGAGAAAAGAGGAAAAACTGCTCAGAGGTGTATTTCAGCAGTTTTATATTTCTTGTTAATGCCAGTGTAATTTCCTTGCCTATACTTGAGACTTCTGGGGCACTTTTGACCCCTTGCTTAACCTGGGTTTGCTCTGAGCAGATCTTCCTGCAGTTGGGGTCTTACCAGCATGGGAAAAAATGGGGAAAAGCTGCTCTTTCTTCGTGACTGGTGCGAGACTAGCTGGGAGCAATAAATGCTCAGCAGGTGGGCATAAATAATAAATATTCTTCTTATAAGAATGTAAGAATCTTCTTCACAATAAATAATCTTCTTAAACCAGTGCATTACTTTTAAATTTAATTATATGCCCTTTCCTTCCTCACCATAATAAATCGTTTCTCGGGCAGGTGTGTTTTGCGGCTCCTTTGCCGCTCACAGATGGGGCATACCCCTTGGCTGTGAAGAGTTGGTGTTTGCCATCCAAAGTCCCTCTGTGGGACTTCTTGAGTCTGGGATCTACATACGGGTCACTGTGATTTGAGTTTGGATTACGTGTGTTGGGCGCAAATACTACCAACATTTGTTCTGACAGCCCGTCACAGAATGCTGAAGTTTGTATTTAGGTCTAGCTTTAAATCTATCAAATTATGAGATAAAAAGTTATTCAGTGACTAAACAAAACTAACTTTCTACTGAGTTCTTGTGACATAAGGAAGTTCGATTGCTTCCTCAAAACTGAAAATGTGTTTTATGACTTGGATGCTAAGCTGTTCATGTTTTGGTGTTGTGTGTGGTTTTTTTGTTTTTTATCCTAGCTATTAGGTAGGTAGCTGAAAATCTGTTTTCAGCAAAGAGCAAAAATCTTGATATGGATGAAACTTGATTACCAGTACTATTGGTAAATAACTGCTAAATTGTATTTTTAAATGTGGGGGTGGAAGGGGGGATTGCTTGTACAAATTAGGTAAAGAAAATGTAACTCCATTGCTAGTAAGTAACTTCATTGTTAGTAAGTGTACCTTTAAATAAAAACTTTATAGTTTGTTCAGTAGTCATGCAATCTGAAAAATGCACAACTGCTTCCTAATATGATATGTTTTGTCTCCTTTTTTCTCTTAAAGGTTGTTTTGGAAACAGAAATCACAAATAAGTCTGCTTTGAAACTTTATGAAAACCTTGGTTTTGTGCGAGACAAGAGGCTGTTCAGATACTATTTAAATGGAGTTGATGCACTGCGTCTTAAACTATGGCTGCGTTAGAAGAAACCATCACATCAAGCAACTGACTTCCCAACAACGCAGAGTTGTCCTTTGCATGCAATGCAATTTGTACAAAATTGCTTTGCAGGTGGACTTAGTAATTTCCATGCAGCTCTTATCTGTCAGTGTCTCATTGAGTGTCGCACATATTTGTTGCACTTTGGCATGGCGCATTTGTTCAGAATTAAAACAGATTGTTTCAAACTTCGAGTTCTTTTGGTACCAGCAAGATGTGCCAGTTGATAGCCAAGAAATGTTCATTCATTTGCAAGTCTACTGACTGTATTACATACACAGTGAACATTTTATCAAAGAACCTGTATGTGGAACACAACTTTTGGTTCCAGAAAAAAGCCAATGTAGATTGTAAAATTCTATAAGTATACTAACATTTCATACAAAAATTGCCATAGTTTTCTGGGAAAAGGCTTCAATTTTAGGTTTTATTTTTCAATATTGAATTTTCCATTCTTAAATATTGGTACCTCAGTGATTAGTGAATGAAAAAATGTATTGTAGGGTGGGGTGTGTGTTACAATGAGTAACAGTAACAATTAAATTGCGTCTGCCAGTGCCTGTATAGATAAGTATATTTGTCTTCACCTCTAAGTTTGGAGTGCATGCTTTTATTCTTTTACTTTCTTTAATTGTCCTTACAAGCAAATTTCTGCTTTTATTTAAATTCTGGATTTGATAATAAATTATTTCAGATTTTTATAATTTGGATACTTCTCCCAGATAAGGGTTTGGAAGGCCCTTCTTTTCTTACAGCAAGAAGTGTAAGCTATTTTGAAAACCTTGAGTAGCTGCTAAAAGAGAACCTGATGTCACCAGTAAATCTCTGCTGGTTTTGGATGCACTTTTTTTCTTCAAAAGAGTGAGGGACTTTTAAAAGAAGATATAGAAAATTAATGTAAATTGGTATGATTTTATTTAATCAAAATTATTGCTAGAAGCTCTGAAAAACAGCTATTTTTAAATAGTTGGAACAATTTTTTTTTCAGATTGCTTTTGCTTCAGTGTTCTAAAATGCTTCAATCTTTGGTTTTTTTGGTCTTGGAAATAAATTTCAAGGTGTATTGTATCCATTTTTAGCTGCTCTCATTTTCTCTAAACTTACATGAGCTAAATTATTGGGGGATTTTTTCCCCTCCAAAATCAAAGCAGCAGGGAAGGGACTTCTCTCATTCTCTCTCTCCCTCTCTATCTGTCTCTGTCTCTTGCTCTGTCTTTTTCTTTTTTTTCTCCTTCTTTTTGATTGGGCTTACATAGGTTTAACTGATACCCATCAAATTGTTCAGTTATTACATTGTCAAGGCTTTCTTGTTCAGTGTGATTATATAGCCCAGTGCTATGAATCTGTTGGTTTTTTTCCACTTTGAAAAAAGGTATTAGTTGACTTGTGGAAGAACCTATGTAATCTATGGAAAAGGATGAACTCAGTGAATCCGCTCTTCTGTAGTTGAGCGTGCTTTTCAGATTTGCCTTACTACTTTTTGGGGGGGAGGGGTGGTGTGTGGTGTGTTTTTTTTTTTTTTTTTTTTTATGCTAATTACTGTACATTTAAAAACAGAAACAACAAAACCCCTACCTCCAATAACATTAGGAAAAAAATCCCTGTGCAGGAAAACTGGATTTAAAGGATAGCCTTGTTTTGCACAGACCAATCATTCACATGGCGATGGGCATGTCTTACCATGTTCAAATTAAGAGTTGTATTTGAAAATAAAACCTTTTAATTGCCATTGGCCCTTTTAAGTTTTCTGCTTGTAGACACCATTTGTGCTTTTGCGGGATTTGTTTGCCTCAATAAAGAAAGCTCGTATTTGAAATGGGGGCTGAGTCAAAGCTTTATAAGCTGGGAGCCTGCTATTCACAGAACATACTGGATGTTTGGAATAAAACCGAAAACCTCCATGCTGCCACTGCAGCCTTGTGACATACCTAAAATTTGTTCAGAGCATGATCTGATCCCTCAGAGTTGTCAGTTGTGCTGAGCAGATTATCCGGAGGTGTCATTCATAATTAAGACTTAAATGTTGGGGATATGAAATCGATAGAAACTAACGCAAACCAGAAGTGATCTTCTCTCACCTGTTTGCTAGTGGCTTAGGAAGCAGTAACTGCTCTGGCTTGCTTGAGCTAATGAGACAGATAAGGGAAGTTTCATGTCTTGTTAACAACTGTTGGACTTGTATCACAAACTCCAGACCAGGCTATCTGGTGTGCCTGCTGATGCTGGAAAACTGAAAAGCCAGACAGTCAAGTTTTCTATTGGTTAATATTTAAACTGTGGGTTTCTTCAGGTTCAAAAGCCAACTTAGAAGCTAGCCCGAATCATTTTTCATGAAGACAACGCCAAAAAATACCACTGTGGAGCAAATTTCAAATACATTTCTGTTTGTTTATTGTAAGAAGCAATACTCGCCATGCGAATTTTGGAAAATACTGCGCAAAATAGGTGCACGCTTCTTTTCAAAGAGCATACTGCCTGAAAGGTTCTGCTATTGCTGCTGTGTAACACACAGTTCACTACAGAAGATGCTGAAGCTGTATGTGTTGGTCTGTATTAAAACAGATTTATTCTCTGTGTTGCTTGGGATTGGGTGTCAGGGTGGGAAGTTACCCGTTTGCTAAGAAATGGTAATAGGTTTTCAAGTGAAATCTAGCAAAGAAAAGTGTAGCTGGTTATTTCTCACGTCTGTTGCTAAAACACAGCCCTCTCCCCGTCACCTCTTTTGCATTGACAAATCTAACTAAGGAGTTGATTACTTTTATGTTTAACTTCGCCCAAATATTGCTATTGGATGACATGTCAGAATGGATGTTTGCATATATTGTGTTTTTCTTCTTTCTTTTTTCTTTTTCTTTTTTTTTTTTTTTTAAGAAAATGATCCAGGTTCATCACTGTCAAGAAAAGTAGGCATAATCTAATCGGCGTTGCATAGTACATCACAAACTTTTTGGGGGCACCACAAGGTATTGCTAAAACTGAGTGCTATGTTAAAAAATCGTCAGGTCTTGTATAAACATAACAAACTGTATTGGAGTTCAGGTATCAGATGGGCATCTATGAAAATATCAAGTGTATCTGAAAATACTGGACTGCTGTTTGGAGTGGATTATATTCTGTCCCTTTATCCTTTTTGATGAGAACAAAAACAGTGGGGTTATGAAATGTATAAGCTGTCTAAATACAGTGCAGTCAAATAAATGGTTAAATTGTTTATCTATTTCCTTTTGAATGGAAATGTTCTAATGATTGTTTTGCTTTGTCTACAAAATATATGAATACACACTTCTGATTCTTAAGAGAGAAATGGTGGAAAAAATTTTGTATGAGAAAATTGTAAACGTTATTTTTCGTGTCACTATTTGATTTAATTTCCGTGCCTGTGTTAAGAGTCCTCTTGAATAGCATTTGTATGGATTTCAGTTTTGTAACTGAACTAAAATGCACCCTTTTTTTCCACGTGTGTTTGACTAATGTAGTCAGTCTGGACTTCCATGGAAGATAAGGATTTTCTTATTAGTTCTGGTGAAACAAGCAGGAATTAAGAATGGTTTGTAGCCCTTGCAAAGATTCGAACAAGCGCTCTTCAAACTGTATGCGGGAGCCTGTGGGTTTTGAAAATCCTTTGTGCTTTATTCCGTCGGCAATTACGTTTAGGCCCCTAAAGCTTTCTAAGAATTTGTCAGCAAGTGTTGTGCCTGTTTGGCCCTGTGTTTGTAGGAGGTGTGCAGATGTATGACACCGTTGCAGATAACTTATCTACTAGAAGTTGCTGAGCACCTGACAGCAGCTTGAAGTCTTCCCTTCTTCCAGCTTCCCTTCTGGTTCATCACAGCTAGGCTTTTTGAATACTGGTCTGTCATGAAGTAAGGCTGCACAGACGCTTCATTGCTTTTTCTAAGCGCTGAATACATTTCCTTCTCTTTGTCCTAACAGTAGGAACTGTTGGATGTAAATGGAAATTTCTTTCCAACTTTAGAAACTGGCTGTTGGATGTTACATGTAACTCTCTGAACTCATAAAACACAGCAACAGCAGCGCTGCTGTGTTTTTACTCCTCAGATTCCCCCACCTCTTGACTTCTATGCAAGATGTGGGTTAAATTGTTCTTCATGTTTGTCTTACACCGCAGTATTTATAAACCTGGTATAAGCAGGTAAGGTGCATAGGCTAAAATAGATTTGAATAGGCTCAACGTTTCTGTTGATAAGTCTTTTGGGCAGAGCTAGTTTAGATTATGCAAGGATATTCAGTACTCATACAGGTTCACTAAAGTGTTTAGGAATGAGTGTTTTATGCTGCCCGCCCCTGCACACTTTTAAACCCTGTGATTTCTTTAAATACGCAGTGCAGAGGGATGCTGAGCTCTGACTTGCACAGGGGGAAGGGAAACGTCCCTTGGTCTGCACAGAGGGCTTTGGTGAGCAAGCTGAGTTCTCCTTCGACTGCTATCTGACTTCCTAGGGTGAGGCCGGACTGTGGCTAGTCTTTACTCTCAGTCATTGCTCTTCCTTGCTAAAACTCAAGGGTGAGGTAAAAAGCCTGAAATTCAGAGGAGATTAGAGTAGATGAGGCCCGGATCTTTTAAACTGGAGGACAGTCGCACTTCAAGAAGGTCTGTGTGAGCCTGAGGAACGTGTGGAACTGCCTTTTGGAGGAAGCCGTGAGTGCATACAGATTATGTGGTTTGAGGAAGAGACTGAACACGTGCCGGAAAGAGGGATCTGTTGAGAGGTACTAAGCTTTGAGGTTCAGGAAACTTCCAGAGTTGGAAACCCTCAACAGCTGGGAGACTGCTGAGTCAAGTATCACCCACTGTGCATGCTTGCCCTGTTCTTCCTCCTCCTGAGGCATCTCCCTGTGGCAGCTCTTCTCGCATCCCCATTTCATGACCAATGTTGCAGGTGGTATACCGGACTGGATGGACACTTGCTCTGAACCAGTGTCTGTGCTATGTGACAGCCTGTTCAGCAGCAAAACACGACAGAGTCATGGTACCACAGAAAGGGAAGCTAGCAGGCTCAGGGGACTATTTTCCACCCTTGCAGGGATTGAGGAGCGAAAAGCTTCTTGATATGTTGACTTTGGATCCAGGGCTCTGTAAGACAACTGGCTCTTGTGTTCAGTAATGTTCCTTTGCTCTAATATAATGCCAGCAAAGCTGCCCTGAGGATAATGGGTTTTCTACACACTTTCCCACCTGGGAGTCTTTCTTCCTCTACAGCAGGTCAGAGAGGTGAGTTATGAACTAAGAAGCACTTTCTGACCTCGGACTTTTTTTTACGTGCCTTTTATGTGCCTTAAGTGACGATCAATTTTTGCACCTTGCTAGGATCCCGTGTGGTGGGATACGGTGCTGAAGTACATTTGTTTTCTTACTTCATTCACTGAACGTGTGCTACCGTTTGGAAGACACAGCCAAATAAAAGAAACATCCCCTCTGCTTCTCCACCCGCAATCAGTATTGATCTTTTTTCAGCTAGATAAGATAGGAAAAAGATCAAATCCCCTTATGATTTATGGTCTACACAATCCTCTGCCAAACCTGCAGGGCAGGTCACTGAGTGCTTTGATGGTATGTGTTTGCATTACCCACAGGCCTTAGGTTGAAGACTCCATGATTTTGGGGTGATTTTGAGCAGGTTTCCTGGTTTAAAAAGACCTGAGTAGAGCAAAGAACATACTGAAAAGTTCCAGTAAGGCTTTGTCAGAAATTTGAAGGTAGCTTTTAAGCAGGGACAGAGAATGAATAATTCCCAGAATTTTTAGTTGTTACCTTGCAAGATGGTTGGAAAACCTAATTCCAGGAGGGAGATAAGGATTTAAATTCCAACTTTGCATCAGCTTGGAATTCCATCCTGGGCCTTAGAAATTCTCCAGCCATCAAAACCCTGAAACCACAGTGACACTGTCCAAAATGTCTATGTCTATCAGAAAGTTCAGAGCAACTTTTTTCTCATTTTTGCTAGAGGCCCCGTGTTCCAAAAAAAAATGAGGGGGAGGGGATGCAAAAACAGGACAAATTATTTAAACTAAAGTAAATACTTCTTTCCAGGTGCTGGTGGGTGGGAGAAAATAATAAAGAGGAGGTAGCAGCTAAATATGTAATATGGCAGCTGAATTGTAACCGTTTCCTACTTTTTTGTTTCAGTCTGTGGGGAGTTGCAACCAAAACAGAAGCAGTGGTTGAGCTCCGTGGCAACTCCCACGTGGTGAAATACCAGTAAAGATGAAGTTTGAGCAGCTTTGCTAAGGTAAGATAATTTTATGCAAAGCTAAAGTTATTACTGACGTTATAGGAGGGGACCAAAACTCTTTTAGCCCGATGATGAAATGCCTTTGTTTTCTTTAATGCCACCGGGCAAACCCTTTCCAGACAGGTCTCTGTCCACATGAGCGCCCTCCTTCCCGTGGGTAACGCACAGCAGACGCCTGGCTGAACGCCCTTGCGTTGCCACAGCCCTCTCCCAAGGGACGGCGGCGCTGGAAAAGGCTCTCGGCGCAAGTCAAAATTAGCCTTTAACGTCG